TGATGACATTGTTCAATCTGTAGGGTGGAATACCAGCTTTCTCTGCTGCAGCTTCTTCTATACAAAGAAAAGAATGGCAGGTGAACTGTAAATTAAGTGATTGTCATCTCTGAGGGTAACAACAAACATGAATGACAATGGAATTAAAAAGCCTACAACCCTTCCTCAGTCAGAGAAGTCATGAGGAAATACTTACGAAAAAGAAATAATCCATAGAAAATGAATGACGATATTAAATCAATATGCAAAAAAAGAAATTAGAAAGAAGAATGACAGTTTGTTGCTACAGAATCACCATGGTCCTTCATTTCTAGGAGGCAACATATATAATATATATTAAGACAGAAGTCAATGAAATCATCATAATTTTTTATTTTTATCATTTTGCATCTAATCAAATTGCAGGAAGTTTCTGTGGCACAAGAAATATATGTCAATAAGGTACTTACTTCATCCAACCAGGATGAAGCCATTCTCTTATAACATATCTAAGCACCAAAAAGAAAAAAAATTTCCTTTCCCCTTGAGAGAAACATCAGGATTAAGCACAGCTCATGCCAACTTCTATCTCGAGAAAGAAGTTATGCAAAGAATGACAGGAAACGGTTGCAGCTTCTTGTCCTATCAATGGTCCAGTTGGTGACACTTGCCAGCAAGGGAGAGCAATACAGGCAAACATGCGTCAGCAAGTCTCCAGTTAAGCCAATAATCAAGACTACATCTGTCTTCCCCAGGCCAAAGCCCGCAAGGGACAACCACAGCCACGAAAGGGAAGTCTTCCTACTGAAACTTAAATGGCCAAAGTTGGAAAATTTGCATACTACAGTTAATTTATTTCAGCGTACCCAGCCACATAATGCTTTTCCTACACAAAGAACTCCTTTAAATAATTATTCACTGTGTAAACCAGCCTCTTTCTCAAGCCATTCAACCTAGCTACATTCCCAAATGTCATATCAGTGTGAAGTGTGAGATTGAAGCAGCACAGCAATTGCAACCCTCACAAGAAAAGGAAACAATTTCTTTTATACTTCTGTACATTAGGGTATAGCAAATCTTGTGTAACAGGAATAATGTTCATGGCATTGGCATATACTAAATAAACGGCTTTTGCAGTTGCTGAATACCTCCACTTCACTTTGGCATTTAATCAGCCACAAGAGCAGTTTATTGCGCAGTATACTCCGCTACCATGAACATTATCAATTCAGCAAATATTAAAAAATATCATGCAGGTGTCACAGAAATGGGTACTTTAAAAATTATCTACAGCTTTACACTTTCTGTTGCACAAAAGAAAGCAAGCTAAATGTTATGGAGAGATATTGGTCCATTCTGATTAAAATTAAATGTTAAAGGAGCACATACACATCAGAAGTGTTTATGCCAAGAGTGACCTGCTGTGCTGATATTTTCCTCCTTGCAGAGTGAAAGCTTTGGTCTATGAAAATAAGCTGTATTTTCAAGTGAGTACTATCCTGGAGCACTTTGAATTCTCCACGTCCTCAAATCATTTATATTGATTCTATGACTAAATAAAGGAATGGAAATATGTTTCTCTTTTTTTGTAAGTTCTCTGTTTTCAGTAGAAGTAAATATTTGTGCTCATGGTTTAGGGATTGGTTGCACTGACAGCTGAAAGCCTCTATTGATTTGCAACCGTGGCTTGGTAAAGGAGCCTCTTGCTAATCTTTCCCACAGTGCCCTTCCAATACTTTCCGCTCTAACCTGGGAGGACAGCTTTCTCTAGGGCAAGAGGTAATTAAAATCTCCCTCCCAAAGAGATGGCTTGTTTTCCATTCTCTGCTTAAGAGTTACCATTGTAGACACTGAATAAGATGAGACCATTGTACAGCACAAGCAGATTCCACAAATTTGATGTGAACACTACATAGGTGATATATGCACCGCAGGTGTGGTGGGCTTGATCTGCTCAGGAGGGAAAGTATGCCTTTCTGGGACTCTTGTCAGAGTTTAAAGGCACCAATGTAAAGCAATCCCAAACCAGATCCATCCTATTTCCACACAGGAAAACTTTTCAACCACTAAGTGGCAATCCTTGCACAATACTTCACAGTCATTCTGCCTGTGCAACTAGCGTACTTCTGGGGTGAAGGAACACAAGGGGTTTGCAGAGCAGCTATTCAGATCTACACCCTAGTTTGAAAGAGCAGGGCAAAAAACCCAAATGTTTTTAGAACATGTGCTACCTTGTTGTTCTTGTATTCTCCTAGTACAGAACAGTCACACGGGCCACAGGACAACCTCAGCGCCACGGCAAAACCCACTGGGTGGTCTCAGAGTCTTACTACTCTGATGTGAACTTGCCATAAAATTGAAGGGAAAGAAACAACACCATCACTAGTGAGCTAAACCATTTGACAGACCTGTAAGAAGACTAACAAGTAAGATGAAATCCCAGTCGCTTCCTCTCGTGCTCCCATATGCAAACAAGCAGAAGGTGAGAAAACCACTGGGTGCAGCAAGCCTTGTCCATAATCTCTTCAGTTATTAAGTGCAATGAGCTCTTCTGCACCTATAACTTTATTTCCATTTTTTTAAGATATAATAAATAATAATAATAAAAAATAATAAAAGCTAAAAAAAAATTTCTTGCCGTCCTGGACAAGTAAGAGAAATTTCAAGATTTTTAAGAAGCCTTAGAATCTTAGAAATCAGAGGCAAAGTAATGTCTCAGCCATGGAATACCCTCTGCGCAGGAACTGTACCAAGTATTCCCAACTCTCCCCCAATTACGATGACTATCAAATTAAAAAACATGAAGCAAAACAAGATACTAGATAAATTAGAAGAATTTATATTTTTATCAGCAAAGGATACCAATACTCTGTACACTGAGAGAGAGAATTTTTGCTGAAGGACAGATACTCAGAAGAGAGTATATTTGGAAAGGCATATACATAAGTCACTTTTCTCAATTAAATGCTGCCACCTTTAATTATTTTGAACATTTTAACCTAAATATTTAGAATGAAGAAAAATGAACAGTAAAACTGACTCATGGAAATAAAAACATCCAGGCTTCAGCATATTTAACAGAAATTAGTCTTAACACACCAAACAAATATTTGTCTTCAGGTGGGAAAAACAGGCCTGAGACTACAAGAGCACCAGTGGCAAAAAATATGACCACCACTCATACGGCAAGTCATACAATGTAGACATTAAAGGGCTTTAAAGAGCTTTGAATGTTAAAGATTGACTGGGAAAGAAGAAAGGAAAAAAGCATTTGAACTCTTCGGTAAGAAAGGAAAATAAATTTTAAAAACATTGTGATATTGAAATTAAAATATTACAGACTGAAGACTGCACTGCCTGATTTTGAGTTTCAGAAGAAATAAATGATCAAACTGACTTTCAGTATTGGTAGATTACTTAATCTTGGAGCTGAGCAAAAGACAATAAAATTACAACTGAGCACACACCTATGATCTCAAGAAAAGACATCCAGTGAAGAATGACAAGACCTCTGATAACTCACAGGCTTTTAAAATTAGGATTGGATGTTGACTGCACTTGGAGAAAGAAAAAATACGGGTAAGATATAAAATTATTATGTCCTTGTCACATTAACGGAAGCATTAAAGGTTGCAGTGACAACTTCTTTGTGCTCAGAGTTGAAGCCAATGTGTAAAAGCTCATGCAATAAAATGTGGACATGTGTGTAAGCATGCCATTGAAGTAGGGCTACTGTTTACTCAGCATTGCTGCTTCTGGTAAATCCATGAAAAATCCTTTACTATAAATTATGGTGGATATTAAGATATATCTAGAGAAGCACAGAGGGCAGAGTCCTGGAAGCAGATCGCCCAAATCTTCAATAAGCAGTCTGGCAATTCATCATAATTACTAGTGGTCGATCATTATTAATTCTTACGGTAACCATTGTACTCGTACTGAACTCATTTGCTATTAACGCGGAGGTAACATGCAATTCCTTAGACGTTAAAACATAATTTTAAAAGCTCAGGATTTTTTTGTCTAATGGTGAATAGCTTTTTTCATAGCTTAAAATTATGTGTGAACAGAGCAAAAAAATCAGCGTTGGTTTACTGTTTAAATTCATACCCTCAAACTATTTAGACTGCATTGGTAACACCACTCTGTTTACCTTTTGAAAATACAATGTATACCAAAAATAATAAATCTAACGGATGAACTTCAATCTTATGCAAATGTCCTTTGTTTTGTGCTCTGGTGAGCAAGCTACTGTACCAATACTTTTGGCATTAGTACAAGACTGAATCCATGGAAGCATGTGTGTATTTACACAAAAGAGGCTTCTAAGCTACAAAAATCCCTCTTGTTTGGTTACACTAATTTCCCTTGAATGAAGTTTGTATGCAAGCCAAAACAATGGTAGTTATCCTGTCCTCTAGAGTTCATTCCCAACAGAACGATGTGAATAATTGAAAACTTCCTAGGTAGTCCTGTAAGGCTCTTCTTTCGTAAATCAGGAGAACCACAATGCTATTTTTTCTTCATTAGCTATTTTTAAAAAATCTGAAATTATATGATAGGTAGTCCTGTAAGGCTCTTCTTTCGTAAATCAGGAGAACCACAATGCTATTTTTTCTTCATTAGCTATTTTTAAAAAATCTGATAATTATATGAAAGATTTAATTACATAAAAAATCTTTTTACTTCCTAGCATTTTAATGAAATCTTGAAATTTTGGAGAAGGTAGTAAGTCATTTTCTGATCTGATTAGGGAGTTAAAAGTAACCATTCAAGTTTAATATTCAAAATACGTCAGGTGTATAAGGAAGAAAATGAACTGGAGTATAATGCCAGAGGCTGGTTTAAAGGAAAAAAATGGAAAGGAATCTAATGCTTTGAGCCAAAGGACAGACACTAATTATTCCAATACCCCTCCAGCAACGAAATCTGTTGGCTCAGCCAGTAGATGTCTCTCTTAAATACACAGTTGCTACACAGAAAACATGTTAAAGCCATGAGGCAATGAGAATTATTCCTACCTTAACTGAATGCGGTCCCAACACTTCTGCATCAGGTGGCTGAACACCAGCAGGTCTTGATGGTCTAGTGGTAACTTCTGACCACGCACTGCTGTTCGTGCCTCCGTGAAGAGTGCTCATCAGCATTCTGTATTCAAATTTCTGCCAAGGGCTCAGAGCAGTACTCTGGTCAATGTAGCTCATGGACTGACTGAGAGGAAGAGTCACCACAGTTGATATTTGTTCTGTTCCTTTCACCCTCCTTTCTATAGTAAGGTTTTCCACCAAACCATTGGGGTGAGCAGGTGGTTGCCAGGATATGACCACAGAAGTTGGAGTGTCAGAATAGAGCTCTGGAGCAGGAATATCCTCAGGCGCATCTGGAAGAGTCCGTATTGCTGGGGTCTCCGGTGAAAGAGAGCATCCTTTA